GTTATCAATATAAAAATCATTGAAATATTTTTACATTTTTTATATGTCTTCAAAATTTGGTACTTAAATAGATCTCAATTAAGATGCTAATTTTTCACCAGAAATACTAGGATTGTATTTGTATTTCATAAAATTTATGGTTGGAATAGTAGACTGACCGGGTATGGGAAATGGTGAGGGCCCAGGAGCAGGCTTCACGTAACCCTAACTTTTAAAAACATGCAGCTTCGGATTGTCCGCGGTGGGTGTCCAGGTGCCGAATAGTGAGGGCCCCTGTGGCGTGAGGCTCTGCTTTAATGGGGACAAGATGAGGAGAGGAAGAGGGAGGCGCCCCGACCACGGTAAACACTCTGTGACAGCTCAGCTTGCTCCACAGGCCCCACGGCGCCCGCCAGCACGTGAAAAGCAAAACTAAAACTCAAGCAGCGTTTTGAACAGTGCGGGGAGATTCAGGGAAAACACCAGATCTGGGCCGTGTGTGAACCAGCCACCTGTCCTTTGGTTTCAAATTCATGGAACTAAAGAGGAAGAGAGACAGAACATGCAACTCCCAAAGCGGTGTGACTGCTTTCTGATTCAGCCTGGGCTCCCGACAGCTCCTCCTCGGAAATCGAGTGAAGCTCAGAAATGTAATCTTATTTCCTGCTCATTTGCTTTTAGCTATTTTTTAAAAAATCTTTTTGCAGACCGACCAGGACCTCACTGACTGCAGGGTTTTATATCCACTCTCAGGCAGAAGTCAGAAGCAAAGCCACTTACCTAGTTTTCCGTTCAGTACATGAAAACCTCACCTTCTGCCGTTGCTGATTCAGAACGGGAGAGCTTTGGGGGCAAGGGACAGGAAGAGACTGACTTCCCGCCCCTGGGGACAGAGGGTTGCTGTAAATGAACACCGTAAGCACTGATCCTGGGGCAAAACCTTACTGTCTGTTGAAAAGCACCTTGTTTTCAAGTTTTAAGCCCCCTCCACACAGAACAATCCATATGCCAATTCCACAGCATTTTTTTAAATATATTTTATTGATTTTTTACAGAGAGGAAGGGAGGGAGATAGTTAGAAACATCGATGAGAGAGAAACATTGATCAGCTGCCTCCTGCACATCTCCCACTGGGGATGTGCCCGCAACCTAGGTACATGCCCTTGACCGGAATCGAACCTGGGACCTTTCAGTCCGCGGGCCAACGCTCTATCCACTGAGCCGAACCGTTTTCGGCTCTGCAGCATTCTTACCTGTGTGCTGTGCTTAAGGGTGTTCAACGGTAGCACCGAGTTGGCTGTTTTAAATGAGCTAATGTAAGCAATGAGAATAGTTCCTGGAGCTTAGAAAGCACTCAGTAAGTTGGTTTCTCCCATTTCCTCAGAGTCACAGTTATATATGAAAATAGAAAAGCCAGATGTTGTTCTCAAATACTCTCCCACTGACTCAGGGACTGTCCAGGTGACCTGCGGCGAACCGGGGGAAGAATCTGGAGCGGAGCAGAAGATCTTGGTCCCACCCGGTTCAGCTGGGCTCTTTTGCTTCATAAAAATCCATTTCAGACCTCCCTCCTAACCCCCCTAACCCCACACACACCCTTCCGATAGTTTAAGTGGCCTCACTGCCTCTAGAATTATAGTCTCGGCACTGTGCTTCCTGGGGCTGAGGGTCCCAGAGCCCAATTATTTGATTTCGTCTTTCAACCTCCTCGTGCGCATGGGCTCCACAGAGGCCCACACCACAGCGCGAGACTGGCTGAGTGGCCACGAGAAGCTTCCTTTCTTTAATTAAATAAATAACTCCCCTAAGGAAGCCACAACGCCAAAGGAGTGCTTGGGTTTTGGGTGGAAATAGGAGGAAATGGTCCCGCTCAAAGCCTCCGCCTCCCAGCCCTCAGGAAATAACAAGGTGCAGCCTTCAGGGGTTGTGCTATTAGCGCTTGTGTCTGAAACCAACTTGCTCGGTGTTTATAGGAGAGAATCCCAAATCCTTACATCAAGTCCAGACTGTGGGTCAGGAAAGGGGCTCCAAGAGGGAGGGAGGGAAGAAAGCGGCTGGCAAACAAGGGCAGCGGTGAGGGCGGACGTGGCGTCAGGCGCTTCTGTATCTGCAGCTCCTGGCCTGTAGTCATCCTGTTGTCAATCCCTGTTCCCGTCGCTGCCCTGGAGCTGTGAGCTCCTGGAGAGCAGGACTGTAGGGTCTGACTCAGCTCGCTGATCTCCAGCACAGGATCCAATGTCCGCACCGAGGAAAGGTTTGTGGGTTGAAAGGCAAGGGAAAGGCAAGGCGCTGAGAGGGGAACACGTGGCAACGGCTAAGTCCCTGCCCCAGATGTAGAGCCACTTGCCAGGGAGACAAGTTGCTGACGGGTCTTTGATTTTCCCATAAGGATGGAGAATGACGTATGTATGGGGGACAGGGAGATGCAAATATTTTTAAGCTTCAATTTTAATTTTTTCCTTATTGTGAGAAAGATCATAGTTACGGGAATGCATACAAGTACTATGTACTGTCTGAAGAATAATAAATGGGCACCTGTAGTCACCACCGAGGTCGTGAGATAGAGTCCCGGAGCTCCCCTCGTGCCTCCTGATCACATCTCCGTCCTCTTCCCAAAAAGTCATCACAAGCCTGGCCTTCCTGATAACCATGTCCTTGCTCTCGATTATTTTACCACCGAAGTCTAGACCCCTCACCAACGTAACCTAGCTTTGCCTGTTTTTAACGTAACGTAAATCGAACCACACAGCATGCCTCTGCTTTGGACACTTGCTTCTTTCCCGCAGCTTTGCCTGATTTAATCCATGTTTTTACATGTAGCTGTTTTCACATGTTTTCTCATTTCCGTAGTATTGCACTATATGACTATGCCACACACTTTTTTTTTAACTTTATAAAGATGGAACATTTTTTTACAAAGAGAGCTAAGACTTCACATCAAATATATTTAGGACATCGCTACCTGGTTTCCTCGGGCACCTTCACTTGTCTAAAACTCAACCGCTCGTCTGTTCCCCTGGCACTTGCTGCTTCTCCTGTATGCCTCTCGTTTAGCAGAACCACCTGGTGCTCAAGCCAGAAACTCGGGTGTCCCTCTGAGTCTTTCTCCGTCAGGCCCCACCGAATCCAGGCACCAGGTCTGTGACTGCCTCCTTTCCATTCCTCGGGCTGCCTCCTCTCCCTCCTGCTGCCCGCGTTAAAGCAGGAGTTTATGCCGCAACGCATGTATCCATCCACTGCCAATGGACTTTTGCAATTTTTCCAGTCTGGGGCTGTTACAAACAGTGATTCTATAAACATTTGTTGTATCTATTTTCAGGGATAGCCCACTGTTTTGTTTTGAGAACTCATGCTACCACTGGAATCAGTGAAGTCCCTAGTGTTGTGAAATAGAAGCTAGTTTGCCCAAACAAGCTAGACCAGAGTTTTAAAAAATCATTGTTTCTCAAAGAGTGGTCCAAGATGACCCACATCAGTATCAGCTGCAGAACTTGTTAAATGTGCCATTTAGAAGACCCAGCCCACACCTACCAAATGGGAACCTCTGGAGATGAAGCCCCAAAAAGTTGCATTAAGCAAGCTTGCTACCTCCTCCTCCCTTCCCATGAGTCTTACATGGATACCCAAGCCTCTACTTTCCATGGATGCTACATATGTGATGGGACAAATCTCTGTGTTTGGCATGTTAGGAACTTTTGAGAGAGGAAGGGATAGTGTGCCTTCTTGCCGACTCCCTGCTGTAGGTCCCAGCTTTGGGCTTACAGCCCTCCCCATCATTTTGCTGCGGGGCCCTCACCTCTGCCCTATTCCTACCCACCCTGCTCCAGGACACGCACAAGTCTCGATTTAACTAACTGCAAAGTCTTTCCATGACCCTACATAATACCTGACCTCAACAGGGTACTAGTTTTTGTTGCTGTTGTTTTAAATAGACTTTATTTTTTAGAGCAGTTTTAGGTTCACAGCAAAACTGAGCATCGAGTTTTCATATACCCGTCTCCAAACACGCACAACCTCTCCCACATCAACATCTCCCATAAGAGTTGTACATTTGTTTGAACATCAACCTATCATAATCACAGAAAGTCCAGCTTCTGTGGGTCTTGACAAATGTATGACAGGTGTCCACCATTGCAAGAGAGGTTTTACTACCATAAAAATCCTGTTAAACCCATTCTTTCCACCACCACCCACCCCCGTCTCACACACACACCTGATCTTTTTACTGTCTCCATGGTTTTCCTTTTCCCAGAATGTCCTTTAGTGTGTAGCCTTTGCAGATTGGCTTCTTTCAGCCAGCATTTAATTCCATGGCTTAATAATCTCATTTCTTTTGGGCACTAAATAATATTCTCTTGTCTGGATGCTTGTCCAACTAATGCAGGGCATCTTGGTTGCATCCAAGCTTTGGCAATTATGAAGAAAGCTCTTATAAACATCCGTACGCAGGTTGTGTGGGCGTGTTTCCAGCTCCTTTGGGTAAATGCCAAGGAGTGCAATTCCTGGATCAGAGTAAGAGTTTAATTTTGTAAGAACGTGCCCACCTGCCTTCTTAAGTGGCTATCATTCTGTGCGCCCGTCAGCAAAGAATGGATGCTCCTGTTGCTCCACATCCTCACCAGCATTTGGGACTGTCAGATCTTTGTATTTTGGCTGTTTTAATAGGTGTGGAGGGATATCACATTGCTGTTTTAATGTAGGCACCTAGTTTTTTAATTACTCGCTTTTATTTTATTGATTTGAGACAGAGACATTGATCTGTTGTTCCACTTGCTTACACATTCATTGATTCTTATGTGCCCTGCCCAGGGATCAAACCCATAACCTTGATGTATGGGAAGGACACTAACCAACTGAGCTACCCAGCGAGGGCTGAGCTGCTCACTTTTTTGTTTTTTGGTGTCTTATGTTTTAAAATTTCGCACAGCAAGTTATAAGCAGGCAAAACTTTATCATCAAAAATGGTCCTACTTACAAATGTTCCTGAAGACTAACTTTCTCTTTTTTCCTTTTAAATATAGATAAATGCGGAGGGAACACCAGAGGAAGTTTTTCTTCAACTCTGCACAGCTATTGACTCTATTTTCTGAAGACAAAATGCATGTATGTTAAGGAGAGTGAAGACAGAGAAATATATTAAAAGGTCTATCTATACCTTAATTACGTTTCAGGTTAAACTTGTGTCCCCTTCCAATCCCGACATTGCTGTTTGCTCCCCAGCTTGGCCCATCGGAGGCGTCTGGAAACCATGCATGGTGTATTTGTTATCACCCAGCCTCTTTGTGATCCAGACAGCCGTCCACTCACAGCTCGCACACCTTCCTATCAGACAGGCTGTACCTCCGAGCAGAGTTAATGGACAGCAGTGCAGTGCCAGTCTGTCAGTTGTGCCCTCAGGACTTGTTAGAGTCTGATCATTTGGTTCTCCTCTCATCAAATAGGGAGTTAGCACCCCTCAATTCCCCACTGTATCTTCCTCCCCCCAAGTTGCCTGATGAAGTCCCTGAATTTGAGGGGGGAGAGGGAGGGGCTTGCAAGCTGGGGCATCTTCCTCTGGTAACTGTAGCTCAGAGCCAGAGAGATTAGGTTGACATGCCAATTATTACAAATCTGATTCAATTTGAAAAACATAAAAAATATGAAACTGTACAATTTTTCCAAGACCGCTAAACCCAGACTAGTCACCAATAACATGTCTCTACTCATTTTTATGAAACTGGCTACTTGGAATACTGTCATAGTGGCTAAGAGCACTAACTGGAGGAAAATGGCCTCTCCTATACCTGCTGGTGCATTTTGGCAATTATACATCAATACCAATGACTAAACGTAATTTAAAAGCGTGAGGTGGTTTATTATTGCATCCACCGGACTAATGTCAACTTACAGTTTTGATTTTAAATGATCACCTATTTACTAAATACTGTTGCCAAACAAGAATTACAGTAACAGTAATAAAACTGATGTGGGTGGGAGGGGCATGTCAGCACACGTTTAACAGATCTCGATGCTATATTTGTTTCATAATGGCCTTTTTGAGGGGTTTGCAAGCCTTATCATACCCAAATGTAAAATTGTTTCCTCGCATCAAACCAGTGAAGTTTGGGTTCTCTGTTGTGTTATCGTTGCCAGAATCAGAGCTTCTCATGCAGTCTACTGGAATAAATGCACCTTCCTCTACCAGTGGTTCTCAACCTTCCTAATGCCGCGACCCTTTAATACAGTTCCTCATGTTGTGGTGACCCCCAACCATAAAATTATTTCGGTTGCTACTTCATAACTGTAATTTTGCTACTGTTATGAATCGTAATGTAAATATCTGATATGCAGGATGTATTTTCATTGTTCGCGACCCACAGGTTGAAAACTGGTACAAGTCAGTCATGACCAAAAGACCCTGGTTTCAATTTGCATGATTTTTTTCCTCTTCGATGGTTGTGCCAATAAGAATCCATTTCTGGGGCAAAGCTGTATTTTTAAAGTCGTCTTTTTTTTGAAATGGATATGTACAAATAAAGTAAATGGAACACAGGATAACACTTTTTTTTCTATTTATTTGCAACTCGCATCATTCTGGAAAGCATTTGAAGCCTTATTCAACAGAATTAGCAGCAAACACAGTAAGAACTGAGCTGTATGATATGCTCATATGATTTTAATTTTGGCCATAGATCAGCTTTGAGCAATTACAAAAAGAACTTTCAGTATATTCACGATACATGGTAATTTTCGTTATTTCCTTTTGCTCTAGCAGTCATTCTTAAACAGAAATGTCAGTGTTTGCTAAAGAAGAAATCCAATTTCTTTGGTTACAATTATGCCTCTATTAACACAAAGAGGGGCCTGTTCCTTCCACTCACACAGTTGTCAAATACTTTACTACTACCCCAAGTTGTCACACACTTGATAGGGGAGCACACGGAGTATTTGAGCAAATTAGAAAAAGACAGTCACAGGGTGAAAATGATCAGTTGTGCCAGAACACACAAAATGACTCTTTGTAGGGAGGAACATTCTTTAAACACATACCACGGTGTTGGCAAACGCAGTCCACGCCCACCACAGCTCTGGCAGCCTGGGGAGGGGAGAGGGAGGGAGGCAACAGGGCAGCGGACTGCAAGTCAGCAGGGTACATGGCTTTGCCCCTGAAGAGTACCTAAAGGTGCAAATCAAGTCTCCTGCAGAGCTACAAAACACACTACTGATCTGCATGGCCTTTAAGTCACATGATTTGAAAGCAGGAAAGGACAGTGGAGATCTCTGCCTAGTAGGAGAGCCTGTGTGTACGCAGAAAACCTCAGAAACATGGTCCAACGCCTTTACAATGGCCGGCATGCCGGCCTCACCTCATCTGGCCCCGTGCCTCTCACCCCGCCAATCACCACTCTCCTCTTGCTCACTTGGCCAAATCTAAAACCCACTTAATATTCCTAGACAAGCCAAGCTCTACTGGCAGGGCCTTGTTGCCATCCTCCTGCCTGTCCCTCCACATTATCTTCAGGGCCAATTCCCTCGGCCCATCAAGTCTCTGCTCCAGCCTTCCCTTGTCATTGAGGCGCCTTTTTACTAGTCCATCTAAAATGACAGAATGGTCCCCATTCTTCCACGGTTTTTCTTCAAACATTATTTTTCTTCACAGCATTTATATCTGTCTGGAACCATACTTTTTATTGCTGGTCTTCTGCATTAGACCGATAAGCTCTGTGACAGCAAGCTTTGTATCCTCAGTCCCACACAAAGCAGTGATTATTGAAGGCTGACATTTAATCCTTTAAACCTGCGTTTTCTCAACTACACAGTAGATATCATAATAATAAGCGACCACACAGAGGTGTTAAGAGGATTGAACAACTTAAAAATACATGTAAATTACTTACTAGTTCCCAGTGCTCAATACAAGGTGGTTCTCTGGCAACAGTTCCCGAGGGCCTCCCTTCCACAATTGGGACTAGTACCCGGAATTCCACTCTAGTGCCCCTTCCGTTACATCACTCTAAAACCATGGCTGAGATGAAGATACATGCCTAACTGGGTCCCAAAGAGGACCAAAGTCTTCTCAGCCACCAAGGTGACATCCTCCACATAAGACAGGACATAATTCTTCAGTCCCTTCAGAGCCCAGTAAAGACCTCCCCAGGCAAGTCCTCCACGGTGCCACACTGCTCAGATATAGGGGACGTCCCTTAGAGAAAAAATGTAGCTCACTAAAACATGGGTCATATTATCAAAAATATTTATTAAGAATCTAAGAACCAGATCAAGGAATAGACAGACATGGATGGTCTCTGTCCTCACAGAGCTAAATGTAAAACCACTGTCAAAAACCCACTGAATGAGCTGCATGAACTGTGAAGAAAAAATGTAATCCTTTTTCTGGGATCATTCAACAGAAGCGTATGTTTCACCCAGTGAGAAATAACAGCCCCAGCCGGTGTGGCTCAGTTGGTTGGGTGCTGTCCCGACACTGAAAGGTTGTGTTCAACTCCCAGTTAGGGCAGATGCATGGTTTCGGGCTCGATCCCTGGTAGGGGGCATGCAGGAGGCAGTCGATGGATGTTTTGCTCTCACACTGATGTCTTCTCTCTCTCTCCCCCTCTCCTTTCCTCTTTCTGAAAATCAATAAAAATAAGTACAGCCTAAAAGGACAATGCCTCCATAAACTTGTGTGCACTTAGATTCTAGGTCCTAGAACAATGGTCTTCCAACTTTGCTATCCACAGTAAAAAATAACTTATGTAGCATGCTATGTTATATCTATAAATATAAAAGACATTTCACAAAATGCTTATCTACTATATGTAATGTACTATTTTCTCTATTTCATTTTTTAAAGGTTCCTCAAACTTCAGTAAATTGTTATGTTCAGAAATGGACAAGGCATACTATTAGGTTAAGCAAGAGGCGCCAAACATGCATGGAAACAAATGCTGCCTGAGGCAGGAGATGCCAAGTCCTAATCCCAACTTTGTCAGCGGTTCTCAACCTGTGGGTCGCAGCCCCCTTTGGCGGCCGAACAACCTTTTCACAGGGGTTGCCTAAGACCATCCTGCATATCAGTTATTTACATTACGATTCATAACAGTAGCAACATTACGGTTATGAAGTAGCAATGAAAATAATTTTATGGTTGGGTCACAACATGAGGAACTGTATTTAAAGGGCCAGAAGGTTGAGAACCACTGGCTTAAATCTTATGGCCATGTTTGCTGCCAAATTGGAATATGTAAATTTTATGTATGTGTATCTTTCTAATTCATCATAGCAGACCATCTCATCTCAGTGCTTCTGCCTCATCCACAGATAATGCTTCTCCAATCTGGGCTATAAACCTGGATACGTGCTCAGGTTTGTACTGTACTCAAGGAACCATGACACACCACGAAAAAGACTGAAAATCAATCCCTGCACACCTCCACCTCAACCACCTCAGTGGCAAACAAAGCAATGAGGCAGATGCTGACTCTGGAGCAATCTGTTTGTTAAAATCCAAACATCTCACTTTACTCACTGTATGATCTCAGGCGTTATTTAAGCTCTCTGGCTAGATTTCCTATGAAAACAGAATAAATGAACCTGCTTCATAAGGTTGTGAAAGTTAAAACCGTTACTATATGCTTGCTTGGCACATACTAAGCACTGTATCAGTGTTTGCTATTATTATTAGTGCACATCACACCAACCAAAACCTCCTCTGCCTAAACCATAATGCACTGGTTTTAGGTGTCACTAAAAGTTCCTTCTGTTCTTATCAAATACTTGAGCACATTATTTCAGGAAACACTACATCTAACCTACTGATTACTACTTAATAAGCAATGCTTTAACTAGTAGGTCTCTGTTGTCTCTTATTGCCAACACTTCTTTGTAGGAGACGGAAGGCCTATTTGCAAATATGACAGCTCTGCCCATTCTTGCAGTCCTCGAATTAAAGCAGTAACAGCACTTTACCACTCCTACTACTGTCCAGGCCTTTTAAAGCTAAGAGGACTATTTGCTTGGAGCTGAAAAAAATGCAAAACTAATACATCTTTGCTCAAGCAGAAAATAATCCTCTTTGCACTCAAAATTCTCAAAAATATTTCCCCTTGAAAAATACATTTAAGTAGCTTTTATTTGTCTACTAGAGGCCCGGTGCACAGGATTTGTGCACTGGTGGGGGCATGGCCCGCAGGGATCAACTCATTGTGGGAGCACCCCTCATACCGGTCAGCTGAGCAGTGCTCCCACTGCGGGAGCGCACTGACCACCAGGGGGGCAGCTCCTCCGTTGAGCATCTGCCCCCCTGGTGGTCAGTGCACATCATAGCAACTGGTCGACCAGTCACTGGGCTTTTATTACATAGGATATGTTGTTTATTCTGTGTACATAACAACTATACCATTCATAGCCCTCTTCCAAAGCATACTTCATACTTTATGGGATTTTTGAATGGGTCTGAATGGTTCTCCAGAACTAATTGATATTATTTCTATACAAATACAGAATTTACAGAGTCACCACCCAGAGGTACTGTCTTGCTACAGGTTGACGATAGATATTCTGGCATATTCACTTAACATCTAGTATCAAAATGCTGAGGAGTCTAATGATCCACCTCTTCTTCTCCCAACTAGTAATTCCAGGGTGAATGTTAAGCTCAACTCCATTTCCTCTCCGATACAATATATTTTATTAACATCATCAGTAATTTTTAATTAATATATTATGTTAAAATTCTCATATTTCTATATTTAAAATTATATTACTTTTCTGAATAAAAACATTCAGGGTATGGTTTTAGTACCCTACAATGTGTTAAAAGAGGCCTAGTAAATAATGTTCCCTTGATTTAAAATTAGAAAAAACAGGAGACTCTCATAATTGGGTCAGTATAATTCTTAATCTTAGAATATATATACTGTCTTTTCTAACAATCAATAATAATTTCCATGGAATACAGGGTTTTTCAAAAGCCACCTATTTAAATTAAATACATGGGGGCTTATTTTCATCAAAAAGAATGAGTAAAATTTTCCACCTGTTTAGTTTTCATATCTAAATAAAACTGCCTTTTTCTTTAGCCATAGTATGTGTTCTTTTGTACCTAGTTTATTATTTAGTGCTTCAGCACCATCTTTTACAGAGCTTCTCAAGTTCACTCTTGTTTCCATAATAAAGTCCTTACTCTTTTGAAAGAACAGGTAAAGCAAACTCTTGAGGGGAAAAAAAATCCAAAATCTAACCAAAGGAAGTCACAACAAACATTCTATAATATAAACAGACAGTATCCACATAGTTTATTTCTCACAGTTCTCCTGACAAGTGAACATTATTCAAGAACATACTGTATACACAGATAAGAAGAAACATACAAAATGTCGTAAATGATGCACAACAAAATCCAGCAGTATAAAAGAATGCATGTGAACCCTTGCTCACTGCGCAGACTAAATTTAATCACTTGTTTAAATAGTAATAAAAATACAATCTTTTATGGATCTTGTGCAGACTACAAAAGAGGGAATTATTACCATATATATGATCTTTATATTAGGCAGTTTTCTTTGATGAGTTGTACTGACAACTCCAAATACAGAGGCAGAGGCTGTGTATTTTAAAGGAATTAATGTTGTGAATTAAAGACTTTACACAGTTACTACCACTGGCACTTTTCACCATAGTTTGTACACATCACATGATCATCTTATATAACATTACATTTAAAAAATATATCTGAGTGACCATTTTATAACATTCACACACCATGAGCTGGTTAAGGAAGCGATGTGGCCGCTGCCTCCTGTAGTGCTTCGTGTTGGTAAGGACAGTTCATTGTGGTTAAAAGACATTAGACATCAATATGGTTAAGCAGCTCCAATTTACTAACGGCCGTCAGGGGCCACCACTGGGGCGGGGAGTTCTTTTAAAGTGTATATTCTAGAAGCAAACACCTTCATTGGTTAAAACTTTGTCTACAGAAGTCAGTTTCTGTGCTGAAGACTATTTTCACAAAACTGAAAGCTACTAAACTGTTTTAATATAAATACTTCGTCTTCTCATTACCGTATTTATGACCAAGTTCTTTGAAACCTTTGGAATTGACTCACGTTTTAATGTGTGCTCTCATTTCCATCTCACCTATTTAAGTGCCACCTCGGAGACTGGAAGGTGGGGGTGAGAGACTCACCAAGGAAACCCTTTGCTCACCAGGAATGTTCAGCTGCTGAGCAGCGATCTGGAGCCACACGGTGCAGAGCTGGACTGGACGAGAACACTCAGGAAGCTGTCATGCTGTGAGTGTCATTCAGGGAAAGCAGAGAACCTTTCCAAACTGTGCACATAACTCACAATGAGACCACTGCTATGTGTTGAAGAGGACTAGTGTACGGTGTTCTCTCCCATGTCATCTGTTGGCTGGAAAGTAGTTTGGGTCAAGGTAATTATAACTGGTGCCCTGGGACACACAGTAGTCTCTGTCTAAAAATGTCTCTGACCTATACACAGGTTCTAACTGGTGATCTTCTTTGTGAATATCTGTTTCATGTAGGCTGTAAAGAAAAACACATATGCACACACATTATTACATGGCAGTGGATGCATTTTAATCTAGATATTACAGAACTTCCTCACAGCTTGACCGGGTTAAACCCATCAATCTATCCAAATCTCTAATGGAAAGTTATACTTGAGAAATGTAATAATTAAGGAAAATTTCTTTATTGCCTTAGGACAATAAAATTTCATCCAGATCTGTTGACTTTCTAAGTTGCGACCCCTTTGGTGGTCGAACGACCCTTTCACAGGGGTCGCCTAAGACCATCCTGCATATCAGATATTTACATTACGATTCGTAACAGCAGCAACATTACAGTTATGAAGTAGCAACGAAAATAATTTTATGGTTGGGTCACACATGAGGAACTGTATTTAAAGGGCCAGAAGAATGACAACCACTGTTTTAAGTAGTCTGGAAAGCAAATTCACTAGTTGCTGAAAGCTCTTGTCAAAATTGAAGATGTACAATGTAGAAAATACTTACCAGTCTGAACAAGAATCACAGAAATCCAAAGACATTTCTGGAGGACAATCCTGGCAATGCCACCGAACACCCTGGATAGGCTCTATGCCACAGTTATCACACTGTCAGAGATTCAGAGAGAAAAGGCATTAAACTACATTGTTCCAAAACCTTTTCTCTGCTGGAAAAACACATGGTATGCACACAGACATCTTCTCCCCTCTCTCCATGCACTGGGTAGCGGTACAATTTCTAGCACTAACTGAAATCCCACCCATTTAAGACCAGTATAGGTGGACAAGAGGAACATTAGAAAAAACTAACTTTAATATGTTTTAATTTATTTTTTAAAATTTAAGTAAACTACCTACAAACTTGGCTGTGTGATTAGTAATTATTCATCACCAGGGTACAATGACTGTGATTATGAACCACTCCCTTAACACTGCGGTTAAACTTTACAAATATGTTACAGAACTATTTAACATACCTAAATTACCAGGCAAACTCAAAATCCTCTCCAAACTCTTATTTTACTGAGTTCCTCTCCAAGCCCAAAGGCTCCTATGACCAATAACCATCTGAAGGGAAGGAAGACCGGGCTCTTTCTCCATGTGGTGCACGTGGAAGCCCTCAGTGAGAAATCAAAGTAAATCTCATTTCTAGTTTCTTTGATCATCAAGCCACCCAGAATGGCTGACAACCAACAAGCCTCAACTGGGTCTTGCAGCAAAATTATGAGAAGTGAAAAGTACCCTCTGAAAGGTCAGAGCTGTCAATTTGGAAAATCCCTAAAAGAAAAGCAGGGTCACTGAAGGATCAAGAGGAAAAGTCTTTTTATACAGCCTGGCTAATAGCCAGGTCAGAAATCCAGAGGTATAAAAATTTTGTTTTAAATTTCAGTGTGTCAGTCACAGCACACATCAGTATTTTCATGTAGACCACTATAGCAAGTCAATAGTTCATGGTCTCATCACCTCCTCCAAACCCATCAAGTACAGTCAATTCTAATGCCTCAAGTGTTCTCAAATCTGTCAATCTCTACCACAGCCACCAGGCAAATTCAAGAAATTCTTATCTTTTGTCTAAATTACCAAAAGAAAAATCCCCAACCCAGTCCCCCTGCCTCCAGCCTTCCTTTCTTCATACCCATTCTCCATACTAAGAACAGAATGATCTTTTTCTCCTTCACTTAATTTTTTCCAATTACATAAATAGTATACATGGATACATTATTGTTAAAAAAATTAACCACATAGTATTCAGAAATTAAGAGTTATCCACCTTAAACCCGCCTTTGTAAAGATGATCAATACTAATGGTTTAAGAATGACCTTTCTGAAATGCAGCTTTCATATTACTTTCTGCTGAAAATGCTTCAGTGGTTCCACAATCCTTTACGACAATTTAAATTCCTTACCAAAATTTCCAAGGCACCTCAATAGCCTCTCACTGTTCTCCAATATGCAATCTAGTCATACTCGACCATTTAACTTTTTTAACTTCTCTAAATTCCTCGAGATGAAAACAGAGTAAGGACAGAAACTGAGTCTATCTTATTTACTGCTGAATCTCTAGCACTTAGCCTAGTGACTGAAACATAATTGGTTATTTCAAAATTCTGTGGAATGCTAAATGTATTTCTACTAGCTTCTGAAAAAGTAGCAAAGATAATTGAATGTGAAAGAAAACAAATTTCTGATTCATGAACAACAGCAAAAAAAGAGAAAGTTCCATGGGTGCATGGATAACGAAAATGTCACACACACACTCTCACACACACTGGAGTATTGTTCAGTCATAACATAGAAGAAAATTCCGTCATTTGTGACAACATGGATTAAACATTATACATACTGAAATAAGCCAGAGAGTGAAAGACAAATGCTGTATGATCTCACTGATAGACAAGTAAGTTCTGAAAAGCTAATGTACAGCCTGGTGACTATAGTTAATAATTTTAAAGCATACAGTACTCAAAACTGCTAAGAGAGTATATCTTGTGTGTCATCACCACACACAAAAAATGGTAACTGTGTGAGATGATACGACTTTTATTTATCAATTATATCTCAGTAAAGCTAGAAGGTAAAAAAGAAAAATAGGTAGACAAAAACTTATTTCACATTTTACCTCAAAGTACAGAAATCTGTATGTAGGCCTTTGGCACACCACTTTGTGTAAATGAACAGGTTGAGAACTAAACTTACTTTTACCTGTATGCTTGGAATTTGTGGCGTTTAAAACTCCGAAACCATCTTAAATATCTCTTATCACCCTTTCAAAAATTAAACAAATAGTAAGATTAAGTAGAATTTACCTTGAAGCCCAAGTGTTGTACAAATCCTCTTTCAGCTTGCATTTGCTGAAGTTTCTGCTTCTTTAACTTTTTAAACTGTAATAGTTCCTTATATTCAGGTAAATTCCTATACATAATAGGAATACTTTCCTCATCCTATTGAAATCACAAAACATAAAACAAAAAAGTTAGTCTGATAATTAAAATAATTATAAGAAATAGTGATATATTTTCTATCAAGATTTTTCACTTTTAGGATACCTTTCCTTTTAGAAAACTAACAGTACAGAAAATAGTGTTGCTATTAGCAATATTTCAGACTAAAACTTTCAGAGGGCTCCTTAATGCATACTACTGACCTATAGTGCCGCCTCATACGTAGGTACCGGGGGAGCAGGGAATGACTGCTACTCGTCACACACTAATGCAGGCGCCACATCCCGACACATTGGTGGCTATTTGACAGCCCAGATAATCTACCTCTCCCTGATCAACGGAAGCTCCTCTTCTTCAATCTAACAGATTTTACGCTTCCTCTGGTAAATATGACATTTTCTTAACAGCAAGCAAACCAATCTGTGCTTTGCTTTCTGCTCTCTACTTCCAATGATCAAGGCAGTACATTCATCTCTTACTCAAGGGGATGAAATAAGGTACAAAGATGATTACTTAAAATAGAGTATAAAAGAAATGAGTAACAAAAACTATATAAAATATGAAGTTGAAGTTGATAGGTGAGTCAGTGCTTCTTATCTTCCCAATTTATTTGGACTCTGTCACCCAGAGCCCATTTCTTTACTTTGCTACCTCATGACTGATTCATGGTCACTATTTCCACACGTGCCTAAAAGCATACCCAATTCACCAATACCCGCCATGTTTCATCAATTCCCGGTCCTGGACCAGGCAACCCCTTGTCCCTCTCTTCCCTCCTTCTCTCCATGTTAGGAGGTGTTATTAAACTACAATGTGTATTTTACATCAAGGAAATTGGCTTTTATAGAAATTGTAACAGTTGCCCATGATCAAATAGCTTTGCAGAATCTGATGAATGTGAACACGATTTGTCTGATTCATTAATTCCCTATATATTCAGCAGCCAAAGCCTACATAAAAGAGTTACCCTTAATTTTGCACTGTCTCATATCTAATCTAACAAATCTTGTCACTACTTAACACTTTCTAATCTCTCTCTCAAATTGGTCCTCTGTAGTACCCACTCCCTCCTCTATCCCCACCATTACTTAACATCTCTGAAATGGCTTCCTGACTGTCTACAGCATCAGGTCCAAAGTATGTAGCTGGATAAAAGATTCTCTACAGTCTCACACTTCATCTACCTTATCTCCCACTATCTTTCATCCATTTCAAATTCTTGTCAAAGATATTAAAATAGCTACTGCCTTCCTATGTCACCACTAAGACAACATAAATAATCTACTAAAAATTTTTATGACAAAATTTATTGAATGCAGATGTTTTAAACAAATACAAAGAGTACAAACTCTGCTAAATATACATGAGGGGGTGTGTGTGTGTTCGTGTGCATTATGGAATATTATTCAGCCTTAAAAAAGAAAATTATGATACTTTACAAGATAAATGAACCTTGAAGACATTATGCTAAGTGATATAAAATCTCCACCTGGCCGAAACCGGTTTGGCTCAGTGGATAGAGCGTCGGCCTGTGTACTGAAGGGTCCCAGGTTCGATTCCGGTCAAGGGCATGTACCTGGGTTGCAGGCACATCCCCAGTAGGAGATGTGCAGGAGGCAGCTGGTCGATGTTTCTCTCTCATCGATGTTTCTAACTCTCTGTCTCTCTCCCTTCCTCTCTGTAAAAAATCAATAGAAAATATATTTAAAAAAAAAAAAAAAAGATCTCCACCTGTGAAACTGTTCAATTTATGAATTAAACTTTATCACAGGTATGCACACACATACAAACAAACAGTGTTTATAGGGTTTGGAGCTATCCGTGGTTTCAGGCACCCACTGGGGGAAGAAGGGATGTCTTAGAATACAGTGGGGCCTTGACTTACGAGTGTCCCAACTAACGAGTTTTTCGAGATACGAGCTGTGTCTCGGCTGATTTTTTGCTTTGAGTTGCGAGCTAAAATTCGGGTGTTGAGCCAGTTTCAGATACCCCACCGCTAGTTGGCGCAGCAAGCGTCACAGTGAATGCCACAACATTAGCCCAGCATCACATGTCTCACTCGTTCACTTTTTGATTTGACATACGAGTAATTTGAGTTACGAGCTCGGTCATGGAACGAATTAAATTCTTAAGTCAAGGCCCCACTGTATATCCTCTGAGGATAAGAGGGGACAGGCGATGGCTATTTTAAAATAATCAGGATGATTTGAACTGGTGCTCATATAAAAATAAATAAAATCAACCAAACAAAAGTTAAGCCTACTATAAAAATTTGTGCACGGGGGGGGGGGGGGGGGGG